TATTTTGAATGTTAACCCCTTGTCGGACATGTCATTTACAAATATATCCTCCCATACTGTAGGATGCCTTTTTGTTCTGATGGTGTCCTTTGCTGTACAGAAACTTTTTAGTTTGATGTAGTCCCACTAGTTCATTTTTGCTTTTGTTTCCCTTGCCTGATGAGATGTATTCAGGAAAAGTTACTCATGTTTATATTCAAGGGATTTTTGCCTATGTTTTTCTAAGAGTTTTATGGTTTTATGACTTACATTCAGGTCTTTGATCCATTTCAAGTTTACTTTTGTGTATGGAGTTAGACAGTAATCCACTTTCATTCTCTTACCTGTAGCTGTCCAGCTTTGCTGATACACAATCTTATGAGGGTTTCACATGAGCAACGTTGTGGTTTCAACATCCACCCATATTATCAAGTCCTCACCCCCCACTGCAGTCACTGTCCATCAGTATAGTAATACATCAATTGATTTTTGAATATTGATCACTTTTGCATTGTTGAAATAAACCTGCCATCTTGGTCATGGTGTATAATTCTTTTTGTATGTTGCTGAATTCTATTTGTCTATTCTTTGTTAAGGGTTTTTGCATCTATAGTCATGAGCAATATTAGTCTGCCATTTTTCTTCTATTTTGTCTTTGGTATCAGATAATACTACCTTCATAAAATGAATTGGGAAGTGTTCCATCTTCTCTTTTCTGAGAGAGAGTGTGTAGAATTGGTATTAATTTTTCTTTAAGCATATGGTAGAATTTTACCGTGAAACCATCTAGGCTTGGAGTTTTTTTTTTAAGTTTTAAAATTATGAATTCAAATTTTTTTTACTTCCCTTTTTTAAAAATTGGACTATAGTTCGTATACAATATTATATTGGCTTCAGAGGTACAGCATAGTGACTCCATAATTATATACATTACTAAATGCTTACCATGGTGAGTGTAGTTACTCCCTGGTGCCATACCAAGATACTACAATATTACTGGTTACATTCTCTATGGAAGAGAGTACCTGTTGTACTTCCACTCCTGTAACTAATTTACTTTATAATTTGAGGTTCGTATCTGAATTCAATTTTCTTAATAGTTACAGGGCTAATCAAATTACTTATTTCATATTGAGTAGATTGTAGTAGATCGTGTGTTTGTGTTTTCATGTACGTTGTCAAAACCTGCCTGTGGAGGTGTCTGTAGTATGCCTGTGTTACCCCTTTGCTGTCTGCAGGATCTGTGGCGATGCCTTCTGTTTTCTCCCCTGGTATAGTAATTTGTGACTTACTTTTTTCATCAGCCTCACCAGAGGTTTATCAGTTTTATTGATCTTTTCAAAAAACAGCTCTTTGCTTCATTGATTTTTCTGTATTTTTTCTGTTTTTAGTTTCACTGGGTTTTGCTTGTGTCTTTATTATGTCCTTCCTTTTGCTTATTTTGGGTTTAGTTTTCTGTTTTCTGTCTTTTTTTTTTTTTTAAGCTTTGGAGGTGAGAGCTTAGATTAGGGACTTGAAGCTTTTCTTTTACCCTCACTGGTCTCTGCTTGTTTTTCTGTAGGTAAGATGTCACATTTCTCTGGCTGCTCTTAAGAGTTCTTTTCTTTGTCTTAGTTTTCAGAAGTTCATTTGTGAGGGGTCATGGCATGGATTTGTTTGGGTTTATTCTGTTTAGTATTTGCTCAGTTTCTTGAATATATATGTTTAAGTTTTGCCAAATTTGGGAACTTTTAACCAGTTATTTCTCCAAGTAATTTTCCAGTACCGCCTCTTTTTTCTTCTCCCCTGGAACTCTGAGGACACAAATACTAGATATTTCATTACAGGCCCCCAGGGTGCTGTCGGCTCATGTCAGGCTGCCCCCTCTGTCGTTCAGACCGGGCACTCGCCCTTGTCCCGTCTTCCGGCCACTGAATCTTCCTAGATTCCCTGTAGTCTGCTGTTGAGCAAGCCATCCACTGAGCTCTGTATTTTGGTTGTATTCTTCAATTCCAGATTTTCCATGTGGTTCTTCCTTCATATCTTCTATTTCTGTACTGAGACTATTTTTTTTTTGCATGGCTTTCTATTTTTTCATCTATTTCAAGCATATTTATAATTACCTGTTAAAGGATTTTTACCATGGAGTCTTTAAAATTTTGTCAAGTGAGTCTAACATCTCTGTCATCTCGGTGCTGGCATCTATTGGTTGTTTTTCTTTTCTTTCAGTTTGAGATCTTCCTGGTTTAGGGTATGCCGAGTGATTTTTTATCAAAACCTGGATATTTATTGGCACATTATGTTGAGACTCTGGATCTAATTTAAACTTCCATTTTTAGCACCCATCTCTGACACCACCCCAGCAGGGAAGGGAGGGGCTGCCGTGTCCCTGCCAGGTGGGGGGCAGGGCATTCGTTTAACTGCCAGGTGGGTGTGGGAGTTCCAAGTCCCGCTGTCTGCCCTACCACCCCCAAGCAGGGGCTGGTTATGGCTGTCAGGGGTCAAAGTCCTTGTCCCTCCTTACCACGTGCCATCTAATAATGTTCATGTGTGAAGCTCAGTCCTATTTCACTTATTTCTGTGATGATTTCTTCTTGTCTCAGACTTTCAGAATCCATCTCTATGCTGATAAGACTCCAGTTTAAATCTCCAGCTCAGACTTTTCCTGAACTCCAGGCCAGTCAATCCAGCATCTCCATTTGGATGCTGGTAGGCACCTGCAAGTCACCATGTGCAAGGCTCAAGTCCTGGTCTCTCCCTGCAGAGTGCCTGAGGCAGCACCCCTTCCAGTGGCCCAGTATGAACCCCCAGGGGTCCTCCCGCATTCCCTTCCTTCTCCCCAGATCACATCCCACGTGCTGAGCAGTGAAGCTGACTGTCAGCACATCCCAGCTGCATACCTCCATGAGCTCCTCTGCAGCCACAGCGCTCCAGGTCACCTTCATTACTGGCCTGGACAGCTGTGGGGCCTCCCTATCTGCAGCTGGCACCATACACGACAGGGAGAAGCTTCTGTTAATACGGCAACCCTGTTAAGGAGGTGTTGTGTATTTTCCTGGTTGTCCCCACCGCAACAAAGAATCGAAGGGCAGAGACACAGTAGTGAAGTAGAGTAAAAGTTTCATTTAAAGTTACTTAAAGAGAGAAAAAGTAAAGGCGACCTCTGGGAGGAGAGGTGTCCTGAAAGGTCGGAGAGAAAGTCTATGCAGTTAAAAAGTGCAGGCAACCTCAGAGAGAGGTGCGCACTGAAAGATTGGGGGTTCCCCCTTTTAAGGAATTTTTTTCAGGAATGTGATAAAGGACTAGGGATGTGGACTTGTTAAGTGGTCTCAAGATGTTTATGTTTGATGAGACATTAAGTTTCTTATCAAATCCTCCAGGTAATTCTGCAAAATTAGCTTAGCAGAAATTAACTTAAAGAAATTTACTGCTCTGGCCGCCTCCCAGGATAGCAGCTTCCTGGTTTGGGAGCCTATCAATTAAGACTGCCTGCCTGCCCTGCCTCCAAGTGGGCTGAGTTAGTGTCTGCTAAAGAGTAAGTTAAGTTACTTCTTAACTTCCTGGATTTTAAAATGCTCTTTTGACTTTAAGGTGGAATCTTCCTGCCTTTATTTTGCAGTGTATAGCTGGGCCTTTCAGCAGGCAGGCTAAAATAAATCTTTATGTAAATAGCATGATCTAATTGACACAGTGAAGACATGGGCTGTGCTCAGATACTTTTCCTTATCTGGGGAATATTCAAACATTCCCAGGCCAAGTTGCTCCTGGCCTTTTGAGCTTTTACTGATAAATTCATTAACTCTGGGTCTTTTCTGGGTCTCTAGTTTTAACTGGTTAACTCTCTGAGTCCCTTCTAGTGAGCTTTATGGCCTCATTCTTTCTCCACCCCGCTCATATCTCTTTTCCGGCCTGACAACCCCAAATCCCGTCCTCTCCGGCCCTGGGTCGCTGAGCGGCTCCAGCCTTCTGTGGTCACATGGGCCTCCCTGCGGTGCTCCGTTCACACAAACCTGCCTTGGAGGAGTTATATTTTTAAAAAGCCATTGATCCTCAGCTGACATTGTTGTAGATTTCTTGTCTTTATTACAATTCGTGTCTTTCTGAATGAAAATTTTTCTAACCAGAAGTATGACCCTTTTTGTCACATCTTTTATGTCCCTTGTAAGAGCACAGAAATGGGACGGGGCAGCAGTCAGAGATGTTTTAGTTTCATTTATGCAAGTTTCATTTATGTTTAGTTTCATTATGCAAGAACATACGTCTTGTTGGTTTGAATGGGATTGTTTTCTATTATCTTTCAACTGGTCGTTGCTGATACGAACTATTGGATTTTATGTTACTTTGTGTTTCTCCTTGGAACTGTTAAAGCTGAGCGCTCTCTCCAGTTGTAGTCGCTCCGGTTTCTGCCCATGTGTTCCGACTCCTCCCGGCTCTGCCTGCTGTGGGTCCTGTGGGGCTGCCTTTCTCTCGGGTCTTTCTGGGGTCCTCTCTGCCTGCCCTTCTTCAGGCTCTGGGCCTGAGGCCTGCAGCCCCAGGACTGGGGCAGGGCCTGTCCTTGACCGTCCCCTGCCTCTGCATGAGGCCTCTGTCCCGCCACTTAGAGCTCTGAAAGCAATTTCTGGATCATGTTTTCTTAACCAGGCTCCGTGTGTTTGGCATTCAGTGGATGTTCGTTGAATGAGTGGATCTCAGCCCTTGTCTCCTCCTTTCTAGGCCTTCCAGCGGGCTTTCCTGGGACGGCCCTGTGTTTGCAAGAGCTCCTCCCTCACTCCCCAGCTCCTCTGCTGCTTTCTTTCTGGTCTGCGTGCGTATGTTACGTGTTGTCGCGCAGCCTGTCTCAGTGACTGCCCCTAGCACTGTGTGTGTGCCAGAGCCCGAGGCGTCTCCCATCGATCTAACACCTGCCGACCACTCCCGCCCGCCCAGTAACCCTCTGTGACCTGCTGAGTCTGGGGCCCTGACCGGGTGCCTCCCCCCTGCCTCTCAGGTTCAGGCCTCTTCAGGGCAGACCAAGTACACTGGTGCCCTGGACTGTGCGAGGAAGCTGTGCCAGGAGTCCGGGATCCGAGGCATCTACAAGGGAACTGTGCTCACCCTCATGCGAGGTAACCCTGCGCGCCTTCCACCTGAGGTCGCCTGGCGGGGCTCCCCGGAGGCGTGTCTGTCCCAGAGGGCCTTGCCCCTGTACCTGTGACAGCCGACGAGGCCGGCCCTCTGGCCAGCACGGACACACGTGAGGATGAGGGGACCTTCCATCCCTTTGACAGGCTGCTGCGGATGTTGGAGGGGAGCAGCAAGCTGATGGAGTCGTGGCTTGGAGGGATGAGCGGGGAGACAGATTGCCTGCAGGGCTCTCCCTGGCTTTGCGAGGCGGGTCCTGTGGGGTCGCAGGGGAGGCAGAGATGGCCTACCCTTGTCCTGAGGAGGCAGTTCGGAGGCAGGCCAGACACCAGCTGTGGGTGTAGGTGCTTGGAGTGGGGACGCGGAGAGGGTGTGTTGAAGTCTGTCCTGCACGTTCACACTCACACCTGTGCTGGCCCCAGAGCACCGCCCGCCCGGGCTGTCGCAGAAGCAGCTGTGAGGGGCTGTGCGGGAAGCCGTGACGGCCCAGCACTGAGCTTGAGCTTGGCTCTGCTAGGCTGAGGAAATCTGCGAGGATTTTACAGTAATTCGCCTCTTTCTTGCCACAAACAGATGTCCCAGCCAGTGGGATGTACTTCATGACCTATGAGTGGCTGAAAAACATCTTCACTCCGGAGGGAAAGAGGTGAGGAGGAGAGAAGAGCTCAGGAGCTGCTTTGCCCGCCCGGTGGCAGGTGGCTGCTCTTCCTGCACGTGGGTCTGAAGGCAGGAGTAGGCCTCACTCTGGCCCCACGGGCACTTTTCTCTCCTCCCTGCTGAGGCCCAGCCAGCGCCAGTCACCGCCCCACCTGTGGGGCACACAGCTGAGCCCAGGGTGGGAGGCGCTCCCTCAGGCGGCTGCCCCCACTGCACCAGGCTGGCCTGGAGGCCCTCTGCCGCTGGTGCCTGAGAGCCTGTGGTCGGTGTCCTGCAGCGCCAATGAGCTCAGCGTGCCTAGGATCCTGACGGCAGGGGGCATGGCAGGGATCTTCAACTGGGCCGTGGCGATCCCCCCCGACGTGCTCAAGTCCCGCTTCCAGACCGGTTAGTGCCGGGTAGCAGCTGGGGGTGGGGCAGTCCCCCAGACTTATTTCTATGCCACAAAGTGAGAGATGAAAAGCCAGTCAACCCTCCTGGCCACCCACAAGCAGGACTATGCCACTGTTCATCCCGCTTCTACTCCCTGGGCACCAAAAATCCAGACGTTTGTCTGTCTGTCCCAAGGTGAGCGATGTTGTCTGCGGTCAGGTCCTGGGTGACCCCCGAGGTGCTCACCACCTGGCGTGTGACCCGACAGGAAGGCTTGCTGTGGTCGCTGTGATTGGGTCAGGAGGCCTCCTAAAGCCTCCACGGTCGGCTTCTGCCCACAGCGCCTCCTGGAAAATACCCCAACGGCTTCAGAGATGTGCTGAAGGAGCTGATCCGGAACGAGGGGGTCATGTCCTTGTACAAGGGGTTCAATGCAGTGATGATCAGAGCCTTCCCGGCCAATGCGGTGAGCAGCTGCTGCGGGCCGTGCTCTCTCTTGGGGCTCAGAGCAGGGTGCGCGGGCTGTGTTCTGTCTTGGGGCTCAGAGCAGGGTGCGCATGGGCACATGGATTGTTTTGCTTGCGCCTGGGATTGAACTGGGGGCTCAGTTTTCCCATGATCCCACCCTGAGCCAGAAGCACCTTCTCTGCCCCCTTTGCGGAAGCTGTCGGGAAGATTTGTCCCTGGGACCCCGAGGCAAGGGGCTTTGATCAGGCCCCTGGGACGCACGGTGCCTTCCCCTCTTCGGGCTGAGAAAGTGCAGCTCGGCTCCCGACTTGGGGCTGGCGTGAGGTCAAGGAGGGGTTCTGGTCCTGACAGGGCCAGCTAGGCCAGTGCTTGGTCTCTGTGAGTAGTCAGGACTCCTGCTGGCTTTTTCTTCCTTCTAACCCCTTCTCAGGCCTGTTTCCTGGGCTTTGAAGTAGCCATGAAGTTCCTTAATTGGGCCGTCCCCAACTTGTGAAGCGGAAGGCCGCTCAGGGCTTTTGGATGGAGGTTGGAAGCCATCGCCAAGGAGCAGCAGCGGGCAGGACAGGCTGCCCCCAAGGGGGAGGGGAGGGGGGTGGGATCAGAGCTGCAGGTGGACTTGTCAAGACCGCTGCCTTAATGACATCCTTTGTCTGCTCTCATTGGGTGTGCCCTGTTGAAACTAGAATTCACTCTCGTCAATTTAAGGGATCTCAGGGGGAGATACAGTAAATAGCTTCTAGACCAGTTTGCCCCTGCGGCCAGGGAGCTGTCTGCTGGCTGAGCAGTGCCCCCGCTACACCCAAAATACTCCTTGAGAAAGGGAATCACAGCCCCTCACTGGAGGCACTACACATGTTTCCAACCAGTGGACCTGGAGCACGGGTCTCCTTCCGTCCCTAGCCAGGAACACCCACCAGATCTCCAAGGTATGTCTTGTCCTGGCTGCACATGGGGGTGTGCACTTGAGGCCCAAGTTCCTCTGTCCCGGAGGACTGAGTAAATGTGCCTGGGGCAGGTAGCGTGTTGATGGGAGGGTGGATGTTTTTCCACACATGCAAGTAATCAAAATTAAAATGACACTGGCCCATTTCCCATTACTGTGACCGGGTGGAGAGCTTGGGATGAACAGGGCCAGCCCTGGGGTCAGTGAGGAAGCCTGGGGTAGGAAGACTCCTTTCCTTCTGTACTGTCTCCCACAAGAGCACCCTGTTCTAACAGAAAACAATAAATGCTGTTTCTCATTTTTGCACTGTGTGAGAATTTTCTCTTTGGATTCTGCACCACTTCGGTAGGCAGCCCGTGGCTTTGGCAGAGCTGTCAAGGATTCAGGGTCCTTCCTGCTTGCTTGGCGGGAGAACGAGGAGGCTGTTTTGGTGGGCACGGCCTTCCCAGTGCCTCTGCCCCAGCAGCTTGAGGCAGGAGGAGCTGGGGTGGCTGGTCCCCAGCCTGCAGCCCATTCCTCTGCCCTTAGCCACGTGGGTGTCTGAACAGGTGGACTTACAGTCGCTCCCAGAGGCCAGAAGCATTGCTAAGTTTTCATACGGGTGTTGGGGTCACTGTGTGATCTGATGTCACCAGCCTGGCTTTTCTAGTCAGGTTCTTGCTGCTGATGCCCAGGGGTGGCCAGGGGAAGTGAAGGGAGTTGGAGTGAGTCATAAGGTGTCTGTCCTGTGCGAGGCTGTTGCACTGGGCCTCTCTGGCATTGTCCCATCTTACAGCCCCAGGCATGGTTCTGCTGGCACTTCCCACCTGGCGGTGGCTGCACAGACACCCTTGGACTTTGGCCTTATAGCCATCCCGCTGTGCAAAGCGGGGAGGGAGGCAGGGGCCCATCCCCACCTGGCAGTGGGTGTGCCAGCCTGGCAGGAAGCTGAATGTTTGGGGGTTTAAGGGAAGAGGATTTATTTCTGAATGGCCAGACAGGAGTATGGTCATGTCAGAAGTGACTTCTTTAGAGTTGGAAATGTGTGCCTTCTGCTTGGGAAGATTAATTCAGTGTCATGCCTGGCCCCTCCATGCTGCAGGGTGTCTCAGCTTGATCTCCCACTTTGGAGACGGCTGCGTACTGTGTCCTGAAGCTCTTCTGGGCATCCACCAGTCCTTCAGGCGGTGCCGGAACCTCGGCCTTGTCCGGAAGCCCCTGTGCGTGCATTCCAGCCAAATGCCAGCCATCCCCATGGCTCAGTCAGTCGCTTTTACAGTCTGAGCTTCTGGATCGTTTGCCCTTTGAAACAGCTTCCGTTTTAAAATGGAATGTTTTAGCTCCTTGATGTTAGTGGCGGCAGGTTCTTTGACTCCTGCAGGCATCGCATAGATGTTCAGTGGAATAGGGAATCCCTGGAGGCGTGTCTGTGAAGGTGCAGGGCAGACGGCAGTGACTCCCTCCTGGCTGGTAGTTCCTTTACATGACGCGCTTCGAAACGCCACCTGTTCCCAATATATCTCTCCTCTCCCTTGTAGGGATAAGGTGTGGAAGAGATCGGAGCCCTCCCCAGCCTGAAGTGGAAGCCAGACAGCGACTGTGACAACAGCCTCACCCAGGCACAAAGAAGAGTGTAAGTGGGTCAGAGGTGAGGGACAGAGGGCGGGAGTGGCAGCCAGCCTAGCAGGAGCCGTGGCAGTGCCATTTCTGCTTTGCAGGCTTAATCTCTACCCACAGTTCTTCAGGGCTGGAACCAAGCCCGGGCCCTGTCTAGGCTCTTCACGGCCTGTCCTCAGCCCTGTGCCTGGGTAGCTCAGTGTTTGCCTGCTTTCAGATGTGGGACCAAGGCTCAGGCGGGGTAAACTGACCTGCCAACACCGCTGTCAAGTTGATGACACAGTGGTATCTGGAGGCCCACGGGCCTGAAGGAAGCCTTGTGATACTTTCAGAGGCTGTCCCAGGGCTGCTTGACCCAAACTCCAAGAGGCCTGTGTGCGCCACAGGATCAAAGCCCAGGCAGCTGGCCTGAGTCAGGCCCCGGGAGGTACATAGAGACCCAGTAGGCACTGGGGTGGCCTCGGCCAGGTGTTCCCTGAAGGCTCCCCAGCCAGGTGCTCCTGCTTCTCACCTTTGACTTTGTGTCCTTGCCCTGGAGTACCTCAGGCACACCGTAGCTCTGCTGCAGAACCTGACGCTTTCTCACGACCCAGCGTCCTGGGGAGGGGTAGCTCACAGGTGCAGAAGAAATAGGTGACTCTAGAATTAACTGCTCTCTGGAACATGGACACTTAAAATAGATCACTTCCTGGACCAAAGGCAGTGGTCTCATGGGGAAGGCATTAGGAGGCTGAGGGACAGCTTGGCTGAGGGCAGCGGACACACGGACCATTTCCCCAGTCCCTCCTGTCCACTGGAGGCTCATGCACACTTGTAACAGAGAACAGAAGATGATGGTGGTGGATACTAAATGGGCTGCAAGGACTGGACCTGGGGAGTGGGTGGTGGTGGTGAGTGGTGGTCAGATGAGGTGTCCCAGGAGACCCGTGGGGGACTGGGGTGGCTTAGAGAAGGGGCCGCTTTAGGCAGAGAAGAGGGAGGTGTTTCTGCTGGGGCTGAGTTCCTCCTAGGAGGCAGAGGTTATCAGAGGGTAGAGGGGTAGGGGTCTGGGCCCAGAATAGGCCTCCAGTGGAGTCTGGGGGAGTTTGGGTAGCTCCCTTCTTCCTAAAATAAAAGAGAAAAACCTTCCAAATAATTAACCTGTCAAGGATACATAAAGTCCAGTTTCATTGGAAATAGCAGTTGGTATCTATCCATGTTCATTTTCTCTAGACCTACTGCTGCTGGGCTAAATATGTGCCCCACCTGTTTCTCTGCATCCATGGTTGAAATGGCTCTGAGAAATGGCCCCACTATGTCCAGGCCTGCCTTTGGTGGGCAATGTGGCAATCTGTGCAAAATAGTGGCTGCTGGCTGGGTAGTGAGTAGGGCTGAGTGGCAGCTGAGCCCATTAGAGCTTTGGGGCCACTGCTCCACCACAGTTTCTCTATTTCTCTAGCTTTGGAGGGTCTCTGCTCTCAGCCTTCTTCATTCGCCATCACTTGCTGTAGATAGTTGTCTCCCAGTTCCTGGCCGTGGGAGTGTGGCCTGTGGTTTTGGCTGCCACAGTAACCCCCAGGGGTGTGGCTGGACAGACTCAAATGACAGCAGTCCCAGGAGGGTAAGGGTCAAAGATGTGGGACTCAGGCCCCTAGGGTTCTCTTGCTCCAGGGTCCTCTTTGGCCAGTCCAGCTGGCTATTCATGAAGGCCCTTGAGACTCCACTTGCTACTGACGGGCTTCCCAGCAGGGGCAGAGGTGGGTCCCTGCTCTGAAGACCAGGTTGAGGTGAGGGGAGCCTGGAGACTGTCCCCCTTATTCTGAGATGAGCTTGTCTGTGAAGACAGGTGAGGAACAGCTGTGGGGTTCCCAGTTTCTGAGGCCCTCATTCCCTCCAGGCCCTCATTCCCTGAATGCCATGTTTACTAGATGAATGAATGGCCAAGCTGTAGGGCATCTGGGAACAAACCAGGTGGACCAGCTTGCTTCTGGCAGAGTCTGATGGGGGTTCCTTGCAGTGACTGGGAGAAGCCGCCCACACCGGGCTCTGCTGTCAGCCCTGGAGTAGCCCCTTTCTACCCTACTTTGTAATTGAGGTCAGAGTCCTGACTGTACAGGTGCCTGTCCCTCTTTAAAACATACAGCCTGACGAGTGGAATAACTGGGGAGTGGGGCTGTGAATTTACCTTTCTAAAGGGTTTGGTGGTAGGACTGTCTGAAGTGGGCAGATCCCCAGGTGTGGCCATGAAGTGGGAGTCACACCCAGGTTTCACGGGTGTGGGCCGACTCCTGAAGAACTCGGGTCAGTCCACTCAAGAGCAGAGGAGTTGAGGAACCTGCCCGTCAACCCTTGCTGGCCCCCGTTTAGTAAAGTCTTCATATTCCAAAGTCAGAAGCACAGGTTTGAATACGAGGATCCTAATTCCGAGAGGGCAGGAGGGCAGTTTCACTGACTGTGCTTGGTATGTGGAAATTCATTATTCGTTCATCAGTAAACCTTTTCCAAAAGTGTGAATAAGGACCCAGCAGGGAACACGTTGGACACTACTTCCCTTCACAAAGCTGATGGTCCGCGACTGTTGTGGGGGTCACAGAACTTGCCTAGGGAGGAGACACTCCTGTTTGGAATCAAAGGCCTACCTGGCCTAGAGCTGGGCTGGGCTCTGCACCCATGGCTTCTATTCCGTGCTCAGTTCCCAGCCGCTCTGAGCTGGGTGTGTGCCAAGCCAATGAGAGGACCTAGTGAGCATTTTAATTAATACTGGGTAATTACGAGGTGGAACTTAGCCACCCCAAATGCCTTTGAGGTTACCCAGCCCATAGCTGGTCACTTGCTGGCTGGGCCGGGAAGGGAGAGGGAGACTGCTGTATGCACCCTGGGCCTTTGATCAGCACCTAGGCTGTGGCACGGACACCCCAGGAAGGTCTGCACCCCCACCCCCACCTGGCGTGGGTGAAGGTGACAACTTGGGAACCAGCCTAGCGTCTCCAACCCGCCTAACCGCCTCCCCGGGGCCTGTGGTCCACGCCACGCCGTCCGGCAGTGCGGGCCGGGCGCTCCAGGCGGCGCGGCGGGGCCTGCTTGGGCCTGACTCCTCTGCCTCAAGGGACGCGTTTGGCCTGGTGGGCGGTCCCGGCCTGGTCTGCCTGCGGCTCCCGAATGAACGTACCCCCGACACCGCTGCGACCCACAGGCCTTCCCAGCGCCGGCGCCTCACGGGCCAACAGCACAGCGGAGCTGGCCGCGCAGGCCGCGTGGTCCCGGCGCCCGCACACAGCTGAGCCCCTAAGTGCCGCAAACCGGCGGCGAAAGCGGGTGTTGAAAGAATGAACGAAAGAGCGCGGCGGCTGTTAGCGAAGCCCCTCCCTGAGCTCGCGGCCGCGGCGCACGCGCACTGGGGCCGGCGGCGGCGGCGCACGCGCTCGGGCCCGCGCGGGAGTTAGGGGCGCGCCGCGGCCTCGTGCGTCACAACGCGGCCCCGCGGCCGCCTCCCGCGCGCCCGCGTCGGCTCAGTGACGGCGGGCGGCACCGGGCTCGGCGGACGCGGCGCGGTCTGCGGCCGGAAGCGCCCAGGTCCAGAGGGCGGCGCGAGCAGGGCCCGGCGGGGTCGCGCGCGAGGAGCTGGCGGCGCGGCGGCATGAGCCACATTCGCATCCCGCCGGGGCTCACGGAGCTGCTGCAGGGCTACACGGTGGAGGTGCTGCGGCAGCAGCCGCCGGACCTGGTCGACTTCGCCGTGGGCTACTTCACCCGCCTGCGCGAGGCCCGCTGCCCGGCCGAGCCCCCGGCCGCCCCTCCCGACGCCGGCGCCGCGGGGCTGCAGCCCGAGCCCGGCCCTGCGGCGGACGCGAGCGCGGGCAGCGAGTCCGACGACGAGGACCTGGATGGTAGGCGGGGCCGGGGGCCGTCCCGCGGGCTGCGGGGTAGGATCCGGGCCTGGGGGTCGGGCGGGGGACCCGGGGCGCGGCGGGGCCGGGGGGGCGCGGCCCGGTGGGAGGGGCGGCGCGGCTGGATCCGGGAGTCTGAGGGGCGGGCGTGCGGCGCGGCGGGGGGCGCGCCCGGGCCGGAGACTCTTGTCCGCTGGCGCCGCCCGGGGTTCGGTGCCCGGACGGCGGCTTCGGAAAGGGTTGGCTGGGAGCAGTGACTGGGGGACTTGGAAGCCCACGGAGACCTCGGAAGGTGAAGCGCACCCCCCGCAGGGCAGCGGCACCCGTCTCGTCGCGGCTGTAGTGCTTTGTCTCTGCCGAAGGGCTTTGGGGCCCTTTCCCGCGTCCCCGAGTCCGCTCTCTGAAACGTGGGCCCCGGGAATGTGTGTGTATTTGGCTAACAGGAGTGGCCCCAGGTTGGGGAGGGCAACAGTAACTGCCTCGGTTCGCACGTGCGCCGCAGGAAGGGCGACGAGCGACTCTTCCTACATCTCATTTCAGCAAGGCTGTCAGCAATTCCATTTTCCCCCGTTGCTTCAACATGGGCTTTGCCAATGTAACAGCAGAATTATCCTCCTTTTCAACAGCCAAAATCTACAATAAAAACGTTTGAGACGTTAGTGTTATTAGATCGTACTGACAGCAACAGCTAGCTCTGAGTGAATCCACATTCAAGGCTCCCAGCTGGGAGGTAATTACCGTTCGTTGCCCTTGCAGATCGTAAGCTTCAGTGTCTGGACAACTTCCTTAAGTTTATTCACTCTGAGAGTAGAAACTTCTGTTTCCTTGGCTTAATTGCTTATTGAGTTACAGGTTTTGCATCTTAAACCTGGAAATCAGAAGTTGTTATTTTCCAAACCTCTGCCACGGATTTACTTTATGGTCTATGTCAAGTTGTTAAACCTATTTGATTTCAGATTTACTTACCTCTAATATGGGAACAGTGAGGACAATCTCCCCAAGATAAATGCTTTTTAAAAGCTTTATTTCAGCTGTGACTCCTACATTTGATTCAATGTCATATGTATAAATCACAAAACTAATCTGCTTTCCGACCATTTTTACTTAAATAAAACATTATAAAAATTAGTCCTAGATGAGTACAACAGAGTTTACAAGTTCTGTGTTTTATCTTCCTTCTTGTCATCTTTATCTTTTTCAAATTTGAGTTGACTTTAATCTTTGTAACCCTGCTTTATTTTATACATTTAAATATTTTTTTGTTTAGATCTCTTAAGTGGCTGTGCTGTGTATAATTATAGAAAGCAACACAAGGTGAACTATTTACAGATAATGAACTAAAAATACATTGCACACAATGAGATACCACTTCACACCCATGAGGAATGCTATTATGAAAGAAAAAAAAAACAGTAAGTAGCAAGTGTTGGTGAGGATGTAGAGAAGTTGGGACCCTTAGCTAATCACTGTAGGAATGACTGCTGTGGAAAACAGTTTGGCAGTTCCTCAAAAAGTTAAAGCAGAATTACTGTAGGATCAAGCAACTCAACTGCTATGTGTATACTCAAAGGAATTGAAAGCAGGGAGATGAACTTAACGCTTGCACACCCATGTTCATAGCGGCATGATTCACTATAGCCAAAAGGTATTAACAGCCCATGCGTCCATCAGCATATGAATGGATGAACGCAATGTGGTCCATACATGCACTGAAGTGCTGTTCATCCTTAGAAAGGGGTGGAATTCTGATATGTGCCACAACATGGAGGACCCTTGAGAACAGTATGCTAGTACAATATGCCAGACACAGAAGGACAAATACTGTATGATCCCATTTATATAAGGTACCTAGATAGGCAAATTCCTAGAGACAGAAAGTAGAATAGAGGTTAGTGGGCTGGGGGAGCAAGTAGTAGGGAGTATTGTTTAATAGGTACAGAATTTTTGCTTGGGATGATGAAATAGTTCTGAAATTGGGTAGGAGGGGTGGTTGCACAATACATGTTTTTAATGCCATGAGTTGTACACCTAAATGTTTAAAACAGTTTTAGGATAACGTGTATTTTACCACAGTTTTTAAAAAGACAAAAACACATTGCATCTCCAGTGATTAGGAACGTTAGATCAATAAGCCCACAAATACCTAAAATTAGAAATTTTAGACCTGTATATACCAAGGGGACTGCTTAGTCAACCACCAATTCAGTTTATAAAATTGACATTTGAAGCAGTCAGAAAAGTTACTAGCTATTACTAATTTGTTTTCATAACAGTTCTGGTATCAAACAGCATAGCAGTGTGAGGTATAATGAGTAATTAGTCTTGGGAAGATCTAAAGAGCTCAGACTTAAGTTAGTCTGACTGTATCCGCATCAGAGCAATAATCAGTTGGCACCAGACTTGAGACACTTCCGTGGTCACCATTGAAACATTTATACTTGTGGGTCTCCCAGCATTTTTTTTTTGTAACAGTTTTATGAAATATAATTCAGATACCACATAATTCACCCATTTAAAATGTATAGTTCAGTGGTTTTGGTATACTTACAGATAAGTGTGACCATCAGCATCGATCCTAGAACATTCTCATCACTCCAAGAAAAACCCCATATCCTTTAGATGTTGCATGTCCCCTCCACCCTTGGCACCCCCAGTCTGCCTTCTGTCTCCACAGATCTGTCTATCCTGGGTATTCCCGACAAATGGAATTGTACAGTATATGGTCATTCTCTCCTGACTTCTTTCATGGAGCATGTTCTCAGAGTTCATCAGTGTCATAGCCTATATTACTGTGTCATTCTTGGTTGCTGTAGGGACGTACCACATTTTACTTACCCACTCATCAGTTGATGCACATGTAGGTTGTATCTACTTTTTGACTACTACAAATAATGCTGCTGTGAGCATTCATGTGAACAAGTTCTTGTGTGGACATATGTTTTCAACTCTCTTTGGCATGTACACTTAGGAGTAGAATTGCCAGGCCATACGTTAACTCTATGTTTAACCTTTTGAGGAACTGCCAGCCTGTTTTCCCAAAGCGGCCACACTATTTGACATTCTGACCAGCAGTGTGTGAGGGCTCCAGTTCCTTCACATCCTTGTCCACACTTACTTTTTTCTCACAGCCACCCTTTTGGGTGGGAAGTAGTACTTACTGCCCTCCTGCTTTGCAGCCCCTAATGGTGGTGAGCATCTTTCCATGTGTTTGTCAGTCATTTGTGTATCTTCTTTGGAGAAATGTCTGTTCAAGTCCTTTGTTCATTTATTTTTTTATTTATATATATATTTTTTATTTTGGTATCATTAATCTACAATTACATGAGGAACATTATGTTTACTAGACT